GAATACTGCTTTTTCCTCTTTTGAGTTCCCTCAGCTTGTTCTTCAGGACAGTAGCCTTTTTGTCACTGTCTTTTTTTTCCCTTTGTTGGGAGAAAAATCCCTTCCTAACACTCATTTCCCACCTTCCCTTCCACAAGAGTATAAGCCCACCTCAATTATCACTTCGGATCAAAAGCAAGCTGTCCTGAGCAGCTTTGTCAGTAGGAAGGCTACAGACAGTAATACCTTCACACCTCCATTTCACTCGCTCTATAATCTGGGTAAGCAAAGTAAAGAACTGTTACCGACATGTCAACAGCATCTGGTGCCCAAGATGTGACAGAAAAATTTCAGGTTTTCAGTATCACACAAATACCTTTCAAGTTCATCTGTATGAATATTCTGCTACCTGAGTGAGGTCTCACCTTAAATCCAAGCTGAGCTGCTTTGATAGCAGCAACATACCCTCCAGGACCAGAGCCAATAACTGTGACATCGGCATCAACTGAAACAGAGAATATTTGAGTTATTTTTGTTTCAGCAATTAAAATTGTACTGCAGGAATACTGGTTTATCATTTCTGAAATAATTCGTATTTGAAAATATTTTTTAAAAAAGCAAAATAGCCATTAAATATTATGCAACTTAATAACCCAGGTTTAAATAAGTAAAGTACACCTCACATCTGAAAGTAACTTTCTGCATGAGGGGAAGGGTTGCGTGGAGGTATTCACTATGCAATAAAACCAGCTAGTCTTAAATTTTACAGGGAAAATAATGTAAAATGAAATGAAGAAACTGAATTCTGTCTGACCCATCAGTCTTGCTATAGAACCTTTAAGAACTTAACCCAAAACATCTGGATAATTTATTGCATTTTTCCAACGTAGCTTCTATTGATGTTTAGTGCAAAGGATAAATACTTACTGAATGCCATAAACCCAGCAGTTTATAAAGGAGAAAACATGGTGGAAATAGATAACTATGCAACCTCTATTGATTAGGAACACAGCAGAAGCTATGAACTTTGTACCTAATTGAGATCTTATAACCACAATCTCCTTTGGAATATTAATTACCATCACTGTTCTTAGGTTATATAAAGTTCAACTTCTATTTATAGCTTTAGCTTGATATCAAATAAGGCAAATAAGCCATTACTTTTCATCTAACTCTCCATGCTGACATGGATTCCACTGTCACCTGGAAGACTGATTTCTGAGTCTGAATCACTGCTTTGGTTTTTGCAGGGTTTTTTTGGGAGGGCTGGGTTGGTTTTTTAGTCCAAAGAAATTCTTCACATTTAATTACCTTGATCAGCATAGGTCCTTTGTGACACTGCACAAACTCCCTGGAGACCATGATGAATTCGATCAAAATGGCTTCTCTAGAAAGGGAAAAAACGTTAAGTTTTAACAGTTGAAGCCTACCCTTGAAGAAAAATAAGCATTCAACCACACAAAGACGAATTCAACCACACAGCTGCAATCACCAGCTAACCAAAACAGGGACAACATGACTGAAGCAGACACGGAGGGCACTGACTGGAACAAGACGTAGAAGTCACTCCGACATTTACCTGCTCTGCAACCGCAGCCGATCATTACGCTTGTTTTCATGTCAGCCGCACTTAACCCTGCCTCTAACTATGCAAACTTTCAACCCTTCATATGGGGCTCTCAAACCACTTAATGACATAAATTAGACACCCACAGGAATTTACGAAGAGCCGTCTTGTTCCATAACCATGCCTTTCAGCCACTTTCGGTGAACAGGCAACACGTGAGGCGGTTCTGGAGGGCAAGGTTTTTCAATTGCGACGGGACAAGCACAGCACAGTTGCTACAAGCATCCCAGGGGCCGATCATCCTGCAAGCGGAGTAGAGGATGCTCCTCAAAGTATCTCCGAAGGTGCCCCGAAGGCGGGAGGCGACCCCTTTCACCGCCGGCGGTTTCACGGCCACAGAGGAACCCGCCCTCGCTCCCGACTCCGCCCGGCCGCTCC